CTCATTAGATGGAATCTTGATGGTGTGACGAAATATCAAATAATTAATTTTCTCGAGAATATGACAGTTTGTCGTACTTCATATATTTGCAGAGGTATGGCTAAATATGATGCTATCTCAAATTTAGTTCTATCTATATTATGCACCTCACTTGATTATTAATATTGTTGGAATAATTTGTCTGAGCGCTTTGACTCGATGTCGAGTAAGATCAATGTGTTTTGCTTGATAGATAGTATCTTCGCTCTTTTTCATTTTTCTTCTCTATAGATCTACAAAACGAATGTTTTATATATATATATATATATATATGACAATAAAAAAGTGTTATGATGATCGATTCATTATGACTAACCAAATCAAATATTTGTTTTGTAAATACTTTCTCTTGTGCTTTTTATTTACGTTTACAATGACTTGCATTTGGGGATTGAATTTCATCGTCTATATGAATGGATTCCATCAAAATGGGAAGCTTGCATGTTTATCCTTCCTTCTTCAACAATCATAGCTAGTTGTCTTTGAAATTTAAAATGATACTAAAGAATGAAAAGAACAAGCAATTGGACGAGAAAGTTGGTTCTGGCAAGCTATTGGCTGGTGAGTTAATTTATACTAAACTTCAATTTAATTTCTAATTTTACCATTGTGATACATTAGTCACATATTGTTCTCTGAACTGGTGGAAATTACTTAGTTCACATCATAACTCATTTTGTGTATTTATTAATTTCAACGCTTGCTTGACGTGACGTAGTGATTAGTAGGCAAGTCATATAGCGATTAAGTGAAAGATTTATTATGTTACGCCTTTTGATTAAACAATTTCTATCAATTTGAGAAACCACAAGTAATCTGAAAGTTTAAATGATCAATATATTTACATCCAGTGTGCGGAATTATACAATTAAAAGCAACGAGACACTTTTTAATTGTTTTTAGATGATTAGGTCAACCAAGTCAATTTATTCTAAATTTGAATACCCAAGTTTGTAAATTGCATAAAGTATATAACACCAACATGATCACAAAGAAAACCCTTCGCAGTGGATCAAAAACTATGCTCACTTTACTAGTCAATTATCCACTATAAACGATGTGACTTATAGTGTGGTCCAGACTCGACTAACCCTTAGTCCATTTGACATTCTTCCTAAATCACATTGGCCCTCCTATATTGCGTGCTCCTTACACCAGCTCCCAACCCATGGTATCGGAACTCCAAGGCCTCTTCCCAAAACTCCAATAACTCTGAAGACTAATTGGCGAAGGTAGGTTTGGTATTTGATCAAAGATTTTGTGTGTTTTGATCTGTGGTTTAAGGTGAAGGTTTATAACTCGATCAACAAATCTAAGTTTGGAATAATCTACGAGTGAAATATCATGGTGGTTGAATCTTGAAATCAATGAAAGTGATTTGGATCTTTAAATGAACGATTTCTATGGAATAATTATAATTCAACATATTTTGGGACGTTTATATAGTAGGATATATACAGGGAAAAAGTATTTCGGATGAAAATGATTTGAAAAATCAGTGTTTGACGCAAACGAAATTCTGGATGTCGACCAATCGCTCGAGCGCCAAGTGGGCAGCCACAAGCAATGTCTGAGCAGTTGTTAGTAATTTTATTGTGACTTTCTCTCTCGACGTCCGATTGAGATGATTAAAAATGCATTGAAAAGCTGATTCAAAGGGTATGGGGCACGAACGATGTGTCCAGAGCAGGACTAGAGGTTAGATAACCGATGCCCCAGTGACTGGTGTAGTGCCCAATTGAGGCTTGGTCGTTTCGACTGCCAAACTCTAGCAATATCATTTTTCAAATTTGAATATTTTGTATGTGAAAAATGCATTACAAGTTGTGATCGAGAATTTAGAACATAACTTGTGCCACTCTTTGACACTCTTTTAGACTTTCTAATCGCATTTTCTTGATCATATGTGATTTTTTCGGAGATCTTTGACATATTGGACTCCTTCAAGACCTATACTATCGTTCCTTAACTATTTTGACTTTGATTACAACTTAATAAACTCCTAATACAATTCAACTAGGACTGATAACTTCGGGAAAGAGCACATGCACTTTTGTCTATTCTAATAATTAGGTACTCTCTTCATTCAACTAATAAATACTTAATTTTATTTTTATTTGTCTCAAATTATAGATCACTTTCTTTGTTTAGAGTACAATTGAGTTTTTTATGTTATCAACAAATATAAACAATTCTCATTTAAACCATTATTCAATATATGAATATATTAAGAAAAATGTAAATAACATTAATTATTCCAACAATAATTATTACATTTTTTTAGCCATTGTTTGAACCCCATTTTGGGAGGGAAAAGTTTATAGGGAAATAGTGATTTTTGGAGAATGTTTAGTTTAAAAATAAGAAAAAAAATCGATTTACGTGTAAATTATTTTATTGGAGAATGTGTGATTGAAAATGAGTTTTGAGAAAAAACAAATTTTTGAAAAAATGAGGCTAAAACAAGGGCTTAATGTCTGTAGAATAGAAGTAAGCCTATCTTTGTAAAACACATGAAATATAATTATTTGTTAGTATAATATTGTTCTTAATTGTGTTAGAGCATCTCAATGAGACTTCTAAAATAGAGAGCAAGTCAACTCTAATAATTATGCTCCAAGAGACCCTTTAAATTAATATTTTAATTTAGAGAGTTATTTTGCTCTCCAAATTTGGAGAGATAAACACATTCTCTGTAAATAAATGCATTCAAAGTATTTTAATTTTTAATGTAGAAAAATAATAAAATAATTTGAAGAAAAGCTAGTTAAATAAAAAATAGAGAAAAATAATAAATATTTTTTGGAAGTTTTAAAAATAAGCATTAAATATAAAGAGCTTGTTAGAGTATTTTAAAATTTTAACTCTCTAAATTTATAGACTAATTAAATGTACACCTTTTACTATTTTATAATCGATTGGAGAGAGAATTTTTCATTAATCGTGTAACCCACTTGATTATTAATATTGTTGATGGTATATTCAAGAAAATAGGCCAGAGTTCACATTCAACAAAATTGTGAGCTATAACACACAAAAAATGATATCTATCACCATTGATGCTACAACATCGATTTAAGTGACATTAAATGATGAGGTCAATAAAATATAAAATTAAATAATTTATTTAATTACATTTCTCATTTAATGCCACATTATACTATCTAAACTGCCAGTAATTCTAAATAATATTACTCATAAAAAACAAAGTTCATCGAGTATAATTAAGAAAATATGCCTTTGAAAAAAGTTGGAGCTATAATCCAAAAACATAGGTCAGTGTGTACACTCAAGAAATGGGGTTTAGCATGTTTTATTTTAGGGAAAATTTTAGCCACAGTCTCTCATCGTTCACCATTTGTTTATTTTTATTTTCCAGATTTTACCTTAATTTTCAATGTCTGCCAACAAAAGTCTCTAACCTTTGAGAAATAAGCACCTAGGGTCCAAATGGATGGAAATCATCCAGTTGACCGTTAATTGATCAACAACAGTAGACTTTGATTAATTTTGATCAAATTGAAATGGGTAAAATGGTAATTTTGCTATTGTATACATAAAATAATTTAAAAAACCAAAAATAAAATAAAGATAAAAAATAATCTTCTTCTATATCTCATCCCCTCTCACTCCACCCACCCCCAAGCGTTCCCGTTGTGGACTAGGGGAGAATAGCATGCATGCCTTATTTCATTGTTTGAAAACAAAGGTGATCTGGAAGGAGTCCGATGAGTGAGGAACCATCAAGGGCTGTTTGACACCACAATTGGGTGCAACAATGGTGAATTTCCAAACGAACCGTTCAGATTTACTTGGCCGGTGCTGCTGCATTTTTTTGGACGATTTGGAGGATAAGAATGGTGTTGAACATGGTTGGAACGATAGAGGGGTAGCCAATTTACTGAAATCAGTAGGGTTACTGTCCGAGAGGGGGCTGCTTTTGCTGATTGTTCTCGGCTGAAACAGAAAGTGGGGTGGTCCAAGCCTTGGGTGGATCGACTGAAAATGAATACTATTGCTGCCATAAGAGTGATTACAGGCACTGGGCTGCAGCTCTATTAGAAAGGCTTCGGTTTTCAAAGAACTTGGATCTTCTGGTGGCTGAGGTGGAATTTGACGCACTGATAATGGTGCACTGGTGCAAATTGGGTGGCTTCATTTCTTCGATCGATCTATTTAGTAAGGTCGATTGTCGCTTTTGCTACTTTGTCTCTTGTCAAACGAAAAGAAGTAGCCAATAATCTAGCTGCATTTGCTTCTTCAGCCCTAATGATTGATCGCTAGGTTGACAGTATTCCAGCTATCATTGCGACATTTGTTAACGCTGATTTACAATATCTTTTCTTTTGTTAGGTTCAATATTGTAATTGGCAATTCTCTGACCAAAATGGACTAAAACGTATGTTAGGAAAAGTCAAGGACTCAATTGCAAATGTTTGTTAAAGTCAGGGACTTGAGTGCAATTATGTATCATTGAGTTAGGGTTCGAAACGAAGTTGGGAATTAGGTTAAAGTTGTACCAAAACCTCGCTAGCTGCTCGCTAGGATGACGCTCGAACGAAAATAACAGAAGCTGTTTCGCCCACTTCTCGCCTGGTGTCGCTTGAGCGAAGCGATGTCGCTCACTTCTTGCTAGACGTCGCTTGAGTATGACATCTATTTTGCCCTAACTATAAATACAAAGGTTGTGGACGAGAGAATGAAGGTTGCCATATTGTGCTTTCATCTATACACTTTCATAACATTGTTCAAGGAGATCCAAGGTGCAATTCAACGGCGAATTCATCCACATCAACTTGTGATCCGGCAACCTGTTTTGGAAACATCAATTGAAAAATCCAAAACACCTAGTGTCCTTAATCAATTAAGGATTGGACTTTGTCATTGGGTATTGAGAGAGATGGACATCAAACGCAATGAAAAGCACAAGAACAGGAGGCTCTTGGTGTTTCACTGAACATTTAGCATAAGATCAGAAGGTTGTAGGAGACAGCAGATTGAGCTGTAGGAGGTAGATCAGAAAGTCTAGCAAGAGGCTAGAGGTATTTAGAGTAGTAGATCATGAGACTGGAACAGCGGGTCTTATTGGGTACAAAGTTTGGTGTGATTGTGTATTCGCTAAACTAACTATAGATGAGGTAACTGGCTTGGTCCTGAAGTGTTTCCCACGTTGGGTTTCTTATTTGCGTTATTATTGCTTTCCAATTTACAAACTGCAACAATTCAACTTAGAGAAAATTGACTTGTATGATTAGCCATCTAGATAACTAATATAAAGTGACTTGTTGCTTGTATTAGTCAATTCCGCAAGTAAAGTCAAATTAATTGATAACCCGGAATGTAAACTCAGTAATCCTAAAATTTGAATTGGTGATCAGCACGTTCCCAGGGACTTTTCACTTTTATTTTCCAAAAAAGAAAAAGGAAGAAAGAAAAAAAGACGTTGTTTCTCAAGTCTATTCACAAGTGTTCAAGTCTTATTCTTTATTAAAGAATCCATTTCTTCTCTCATAACTTGTAGTAGTCACTTATTTAATTCAAAAAAATACTTGCTTCTTCGTATGTTAATGGTTCTTCATTTTCAACTTCTTCACCTGAAACTTCAGCAAAGATGAATTTGGCAGCTTAAAGCTTTGGGTGTCATATGCACCATTTTGGATCTTGCGTCTTTCACAATCTGAGATTGAGCAACCCGACAAAAAGTTCTTATGTTCTCTCCCATTACTACAACATGAAGTCAATCAAAATATGAGGCACTTAAATGTTTAGCAATGGGTAGAAATTCACATTTCAACTAACATTATAAAACCAATCAGTTGGACCGAAAATTAATGGATTGGACTAGGTTTCAGAAGTAGATTACTTGGAGTTAAACCTAATCTACTTGGATCGGAAAGCTAGTTTGTATTGCCTAGTTCGATTGAAATACACACTGTCATGTGACATCTCGCAAAGGTGCAAAACGATCATCGAAATAAAATTAATCATTCTCAAAACTTAAACTAAAACAGAGTCCCTAACTTTTGGGGTATTGTTGAAGCAAGGTAATGTAATAATTACATTATCTTGGAAACAATGCTAGGAGTACATTGCAAGCAGTGCTCGGTTTTCATATTTTTCCAAGTTTAGATGGAGACATATTAAAAAACATAAACTAAGTGAAAAAGTTGAAAGCAAATAAATTTCATTTCACACACGGGAATAAATACTTATAATGGTTGACGACCGAAAAAAAAGAAAAAGAAAGGAGAAATGCATGAAAAGAAAATTACAAGGCAAAAGATTTGAGGTTGAGAACTAGATATATCATGATCACTCTTCATATTAATCATAATACAGTACAGTTGCAACCGAATCATTATTTAATTTTACTTGCAATAAAGAAGTCATAACTTCACTTTCAGTACAAAGGAAAGACTATGATTAAGAGCAACAACTAGTAATTGATATGTAACCAGAAATTATATCTTTTTCTCACCATTGGGTTTGAGATGTCAAGGAATCTCCTGCTAAGAAATAAAAAAAGTTAATCAGATAAACATTAAAAAAAATCGTAAAAAAGAAGCATGAGATGAGCTTCGACTTACATTGTGTATGCTAGTAGAATGTAGGCTCTCTTTAATCCTAACGATCAAAGATGGTAACCTCAAATTCTTCGTTACCATAGTCTTGTGGTTCTTCACGAATTTCCAGGGCTAAACTTTCTACGTTTTTGCCGCAATAATATAACTCAATCGTTTGTAGTGTTTGAATATGGCTGAATTCAAGAGGAATTATCTCCAAATTTTTGCAAGTTCGAAACACCAATCGTTCAAGTACAGGGAAATGATCATCTGTGGAATTCCATTGTTTGAGATCTAGGCAATATAATTTATGGAATTTGAGTTTTTGGAATTCATCATCCTTGGTGTCCCAAATTTCTCTTTCAAAAGCTTCTTCTTCTAATTTCAGAATCTTCAAGTTGGGCAATGTCCCAATTAATGACATTTTTTCCCAAGGCAAACCGAATTTAGAAAGAGTTAGCTTTCTGATATTCCTGGGAAAGTTAACAACTGAGTAATCACCTTTGAATATGCCTCTACAAATCATATAGAGTGATTCAAGCTGTAGAAGAAAGTTGAGATCAGGGCAACGATTGTCTGGAGATGTGCATTTAAGCTTATGAAGATTTGGTGAGCATCTTAAGATTTCTTTATATTCCAAAATAACGTAACGAAGAGTTTGTAGGCAATTTATTCTGGAGTTTTTACATTTCTTACGGAAACTTTGAGGGAGAGATCTGTTTCCAACACAGGGATGTCTCA